CCAGGAGCTGCTGATACAGTTCTACAGAGGAATCATCGAGTCTGTTCTCTGCACCTCCATCACTGTGTGGTTTGACTCAGCAACCAAACAGGACAAGTACAGACTTCAGCAGACAGTCAGGACCGCAGAAAAGGTAATTGTGTGAGCTTGCCCTCCATGGAAGACCTGTACATCACATGGGTCAAAAGGAGGGCAGAGAGGATCACTACAGACCCCTCACACCCCGGACACAATCTGTTTGAACTCCTCCCCTCTGGACGGCGCTACAGGTCACTGCACTAAGACAACCAGGCACAGGGACAGTTTCTTCCCCCAGGCTGTCACTCTGATGAACACTTAACCCACGACAGTATGACTGGACAATAACCCTCAGTGCAACACCTGTAAATATACCTCGTACAGATTATACAGACTCGTACAGGTCTCTAGTTCTTAAGTACTCTGTTTTTATTCCTATTTATCTCATTTCAATGAACATTTCTTTGTTGTCTGCATTGTTCACTGTCTGTTTATACTGCTTATTCTGCATTGTTTGCACTTTGTTGCTTGTAAATACTGCTTATTTTGTTATATTACACAGCCTTATGCTGGTTTACTGTTTGCACATTGAGAGCCACTGTACCAGAGTCAAATTCCTTGTGTGTTCAACCCACCTGGCCAATAAAGCTGATTCTGATTCAGAACAGTGAACCAACTTTTTACCCTTGTGAGTCTACTGGGGAGGTCATGGGGGTATGTTAATCCAGTCTACAAGTGCTTTGTAGACTTGAAGAATGCCTATTGTGAAAGCATTTAGTCGGAGCATAACAATACCCCTTGAGTTACTGAGGAAGTCTGGCATACTGGAGCCATTGTTATGAGCCATCTGTTCCTTATTTAACCAGAGTTAGAGCTGTATCCTTATTTTCAGCAAGAAGTCAAACATGTTCCCAGTGAGTGATGGCTTCCCCTAGGGTTGCACGTTGTCTACAATCCTGTTAATGATCTTTATGGACAGGATCTCAAGGGGCAGGCAGTGGAGAAGAGTGCAGAGTTCGGACATATGAAGAGAGCTCAAAGTAGAGTCACTGCTTCTTTGCATCAAAAGCATGTAGTTGAGGTGGATCAGGCATCTATTTAGCCTCTTGGGTGCCTCCCATTGGAGGTTTTCTGGGCATGTCCAACCAGTAGGAGGCCCTGGGGACCTGGAACATACTGGAGGGATTATAAGTCCCATGCAGGTAGCCTGGTAATGCATCAGGGTACCCCACAAGGTTAACAATGGATGAATGGGTAGGCTGGAGTTTTACCTCCCTGTTCACCCTTTAAAATACTTTATCTTATTATTGATTACCTTATTATTATTACCTTATTAAAACACTAAGGAAAGTAAGCATATGCAGTTGGAACATTAGTTCAGTCCTGTAGCATAATTTGTACACATTTTCTAGTTCATGTATGCGATTTAAGCATAGATGCTGTAATCACTTTAATGATTTTTTTATTGCACAAAAGAACAAAACCAATCAATTGTCAAATCAAACCCTAACCCTCTCCCAACCCTCAAGAGTATTAAAAATTCTACTGCTCTTTCTGCCTATGTTAATGTGATTTTTTTTTTTATTATTCTTATGAAATTTTCTAAACATTTGCAAGGCCCCCTATTGGCCTCATTTAAAAAAGTCCTAATTTAGCCTCTCTTTTTGGAAATATAGCATATGTAGATCTGCCAGTCACACCATTTCATCACAGCACAGATTTAAAATTTTGTCCTTCCAGAAACTGTTGACCCAAACTAAGCAGAGGTGTAACGGAAACATAATGCAACACAATAAAAAGACATGGATTACAGCTATTCCTGAATAGTTTTATGTCATATCTAACTTTAGATACCTCTAATTTGAGACAAGAGTATTTTCACATTCAAGTACACGGTGCCTTAATTCAATGCCCCATCTGGAAAGGCAGAGGCTTACATAAGGCAAGAGGAGCAAAACCTGCAAGCAATATAGAAGTCAAACATTTACAGAATACAACCTGGATTTAGACATATGGTATTCATCCATTATGAATAACCAAAATGGCATGTAGTACAATACCATATGAATGTGCTATATATTGATTTCCAGCCTTAAAAAATGGCCTCATATCTTTAAAAAAAAAATCCCTCCCTATTCATTTTAAATTAAGAACCAGTGAGGTGATACAAAACTAAATAACCCCTGTAGTTCACTCATCAATCCTGAACTATCAAGAATCACCAAAGGTGATCTTGAATCAAAGTATCACAATCTTTGTGTAGTATGACAATGGGCTTGTATGACAATGAGCCTGTAAAATGTTAATTCTGTAGGAACAAAATGTAAGGCTCATAAAGTTGTTTTTTTGCACAAAGCTGCTGCAACTGTTATCACACTGTCTGAAAGCTTTCAGCTTTGTTCAGTAAGTCAATTTCATCAGAGTAATGCGAATGTGATGGGGAAAAACAAAATAAAAAATAACCTCTTACACATGAGCCTACACATCTAAAGCCACAACTGGCATTCATCCATTTTCCTCTCCTTATCCCATTATGTGCAACAACTGTGCCAAATCATTTGGTCCCTCCTCCACTAAAGAACAGACAAGTACCAAAACATTCCATTAGAAGTCACCGAAATCTGTTTATATTAAAGTTACAGAAAATGGCACAGTCACAGAGAAAGTAAGACACTGATAACCAATATATTAACTAAAACTAACCCATTGCAGCTTGTTATCAGACCTCACACTTAGTTGGATTCTTCAAGACAAACACAGACACACTGTACCACCTACTTGCATACATATTAGCAGAGGGAGGGCATGATGATCGATGTTTCCTCCTTCAGTAACTTGTGCTGTAACATCCAGAAAGAACGCAACAAATAGTGAAGTACACAGAACTATTCTGTAAGAGAAAGAGTGCATGCATTTCTAAAATGCAAACCTTAATCCCAGTTGATGCTATACCCAGCGCCACACCTAAAAAAACAAACAAAAAACTAAAAATCCCTTTTTACTTGTGATTCTAGTCATATATATATATATATAGTATATATATTTAATATTTTTGCGGTTCCTGTTAAAAGTACTTTCTGTCTTTCTTATCATACATTTATGACTGTCTACTGTCTCAATCACAATAATATGACCTCTTGGACAATGATTTCAGGTACATTCAGGACTTTCTGTAAAAAGTCTCAAGTCTTATCTTTACAATTCATTAAAAATACAGAGGAGCAAAAATATTGATGATATGACAGTCCACTGTCCTGCAGAGGCTGCTCAACCATAGCTCAGTAGAGTCTTTCTTCAACACAGATAAAGCTCATTTCACAACTCTCCCCCAGTGCTTCCTTCTGTATGTATCTCTGTTTCTGGCCTCTGTGTGGCGAGGTCAGTCTGAATAAAGGCTCCCTGGCCCAGTGCTGTAGAGTATGCTCTAGTACTGTGGCTCACTGTGAATCCTGGGGTGGGACAGGAGCTGGAGCCTCCACGTTTTTGGACAGGTGCCTGAGGTTGAGGTACTGGGTGGTAATCGTCCAAGTTATCATAGTGGGACTGCACTGTTTTAGTGCTCTGTTTCTGATATGAGTAGTCTCTGTCCAAGTCAGGTTTGCCCTGGCTGTAGTGCTGCTGTTCCCGGATGCTGTGTGATCGCTCTGGTTTGGACCGGGTGAGCTGTTCACTGGGAGCTGATGGCTGGTCATCTGTACCTTGGTAGCCACTTGATGTTTTCACTTTAGTCAGGTGGTGGTCAGAATCAGGGCACTCATACCGTGGTTGCAAGCTCCTCTTGTTGGGATAGTCCTGTTGCCAGTGTTTAGACCTGCTGCCATCTCCACCCAACTGGTCATCACCAGTCTTGTACTTGGCCTCATGTCGGCCACTCTCCTGCTGATGGAAGACACTGTGGCTCAGAGTAGCAGGAAGGGAGTGAAAAGATTGGCATTTTTTGGAACTGCTTTGCTTGGCAGGTCCGTCCGTTTTGTCACTCACTACACTGCCCTGGCCATGCTTGTCAGTCTCCATGTACATCAAGACATCAGGGTCTGACACCATGTGTCTGGTGAGGTAGCGCCCATCTTTGCTCTCAGCTGCAACCAGCACAGCTTTGCCTGGGTCAGATTTACTACGCAGGTGTAAGGTTTCATAACCTGATATATCCGCTGGTGCAAACAAACCAACATTGTCATACTGAGAGAGGACAGGGCCTTTAATCTTCTGTCTAGCCCTGCTCTCCCTGCGGATAGAATGCATGTGGAGTCTTTCAGACTCTTCAGGGTCCCAAGCAAGGTAAGCAGCAGCTTCTCTGTTCCCATGGCTAGGTGGCATGTCCCTGCTCACAAAGCAGTGCTCCTTGCCAGGTGGGAGAACATGGCGTGTGACGTAGTGGTACCCGGTTGCCTTTCCACCTGGTCGGCCAGCTACAGCTCCCGGATCTCGGCTGCCATAGGAGTGGCAGTGCCGGACTCGGATGGTGCCGTAAGGGTCAATGTCATAGTAAGGTGCCTCTAAAGGGCCTGAACCAGAGTAAGGACTATAGCGATACTGAACCCGTCCATTCTCAAAGTAAGGCTGCAGCTGAGTGACATGGTAGTCAGCTTGTGAGGACTGCTGATAGGCTTTGCACTGAAACACAGGCCGGTGGTAGAAGAACATATCATCATCTGGAGGAACCTCAGTCCTTTGGATTGGCACTGAGCGGATAGTGGAAGGAACGTGGAGTGAGTGTACTCTACGGATGGTGGGATAGCCATGGGTTCTATCATGGTTATAACCCTGATGCCCTGGACCTGGAGACATATATACACTCCGGGGACTTCCTCTGGACTTTATGGAGTGGTGGTAGGACCTGGGGCCTAAAGTGCTGTATCTGTCTACACGGGCACTGTAAGGTATCTGAGGCTCAGACTTGGACACGTAGGAGAGGTGTGGGGGGATGCTGTCTGGCCGGTAGTGGTGAGGCATGGACTGTGGGCCCAAAGGAAGAGGCCTCTGGTGATAGTATGCAGCTCCTGAAGGTTCAATTAAAACTGGTTCTCCTTTAGGATGGTACAGATAGGCTGAATGGTGTGTGGAAGATTTACGAGGAGAAAGAGGGTTGTGAGGCAAAACATCCTCCAAATGGTCAGGGCCTGGGCCCTCATCCAGAATATGATAAGATGCTTCATTTTGGCTGAGTGCTGCAGTGGCCAGTTTGCTTTCAATAGTGCGGACAGGAGGGGCTGGAGCTGGAGGTTTGGGTCCATAGGCGTCGTGGTGCTTTGCAGACTCTGTAGGCTGTACCGGCTTAATGGCCTCCCAAGGCTTCTCAACAGACTCAACAGAGGTGGGGGCCACTCTTGCACTGGCTTTTGAGAGCATTTGAGATTGGGGTTGCACTTGTTTGTGAGACTGCATGTGCGACTGTGGATGGGTCTGAGGTTGAGGCTGTGTTGAAAGATGAGGTTGTATCTGAGCCTGGCTTTGCTGCTGATGTTGGGGCAGTGATACCGCTGGCTTTTTGGGCTTTTGAGCTGTCAGAGGTGGCTGTTCTGATGGTTTTGGAAGGAATGGGGGCAGGGTGGTGTCTGCTGGTTTGACCTGAGAAAAACATAAGACAACCTCTTATTTTATGAGGAAATTTTCTAAGCAACACAAGGAGCATCGCTGCAGAGGCAAAAGACACCTAACCCCCCACACACTTCAGTTAGATGCTGTCCAGTGCTACTAGACTGATTACACTGGTCTACAACCAATGTTTCAGAAACAAAAGAATCAATCTTTGCTAATTCTGCATCACTGGAAATGAAAATGACATCTAAAATGGTTGACTGGCTCTGGTATGCAAGATATGGCAAGGGCAATGTATGAATTTTGCTTGAAAATGAACTTTGAACTCTGAAGTTTGTCAAATTACAGAAGGAATGATCTGTGAGCAAAAACCAGAAACTGTAACCCAAACTCCAGGTGGAGCTAATGTTAAAACTATTTGCTTTTGATACAACAAAATTCTTAGGTGAAACATTAGGCTGCTTGTGTTTCAGGCAGTAAAAGCCATTTTTCATTTAAGCAAGGGACTTTTTACATTCATACCTTAGCTCAACACATCAGGCGCTTTGTTGTATGCAGTATCTTTCTTTAAGTCAAAAGGTATCTTTATCTTTACTTGTCAGTCATATTTTTACATGGCTGCATAAAACATAAATGGCTAAATGTCTTAAAAACTAAAAACAATCAGCTCTTTTAAAGATCATACATAAGTTCAGCACCTCTAAATCCATAAAGATGAGCAAATTTCAATTCAGAAGCTGAAAATCTTTTTGAAAACTGTAGACCAGTGTTACTGGACAAATGACCCTACAGCAGCAGCATGTCATGTATTCTTAATGTTTGTTGTTTAACATGACTGAAATTTTTTACACTTCTCCTTTTCCTACTGATAGTGGTACCTTTTGATTAAGGATTTGTTGGATTTAAAATAAAAGAAAACACTATTAAAAAGCTTTGCAGAGTTAAGAGGACTAAAACATACTGTAACTCAAAATATACTGCTCAAAAAATAAAAGGAACACAGCATAAGACATCCTAGATCTGAATGAATGAAATATTCTTATTAAATACCTTGTTCATTACATAGTCGAATGTCTTATTTTCCTTGTGTTCCCTTTATTTTTTTGAGCAGTGTATATTAAAAACATTAGTAACACTAACAGCTAACACAAGATTAAAAGGCCAAAAAATAAATCCAAAGAGGATATCAAAACATCAAGTAAACAACACATATGACTTCATGGCAAACATACTGACACACGATATTCTTAGTGTTTCCAGTTTTATTGCTAAGCTAAACTTATTACAACAAAGGGACATTAGTGGTATTGATTGACTCGTACTGTAGCTCCATTCAAGAAAGTTATTAAGTGTATTTTCCAAAATGTGGAACTCCTTTCTCCTTTACAGATAATTCAGTCACATTATGCTGCATATACAGTATAAACTCAGTCAGTCCATTTGGATCATGCTTGCGGCGGCCCAGTGTCAGAATATAATGACTCTCTAGTGTCTTATAAGTACCAATCATATAATTAAAATAATATGACACTTACCTCAGGAGCAAGCTGTGGTAAGACTTCAGTGTCTTTATAGCTGCCAGTGGGGGTGGTTGCTGGAGTGGCACTGCAAGAGCTAGTATGAACTTGGACCTGTCTTGCAACAGGCTGCTGCTTTTCTGGACTTTTCCTGGTTGAAAAAATAGGACTGCTTGAACTGGAGAGTGGGGGACACTTATAAAGAGGAGTGTCTCGTTGGGTGGCATCTGTGTCCGGCTGTGTTCTAGATGGACTTGTTGAGGACTTGACACTGTTTGATGGCTTGGTAATCGTGCTGGTTAACTCAAGTGGCTTCTGTTTGACTGGAGGACTGGAAGTGGAAGGATAAGATGAGGCTGTGGTGACAATTGGCGCAATGCTTTTTGGTGGTGGAGAACATGCTTGTCTAACACTGTCCTTGGAAGAAGTCTGGAAATGTGGGGCCAGTGTATGTGGGAAATCTTGGAAGTCAGAGGCCTCCTGTGAATGCAAAGGGGACACTGGTGTCTGAGGCTCAGAGGCCTGGGACTGAGGCTGTATGGAGGTCTGCTTAGAAGACTCTTTGAGAGTCAGGGCCAACATGTGGGCAGCATTTTTAGGAGCAGGAGGAGGTGGAGGGGCAGAGGGGGGAGTTGTAGAGCTGAGGGAATGAGGGGCGATGTCCTTTGAAGAGTTCAGAACTACGACTCCTAACAGGGACAAAGAAACACAAGACATATATAGATGAATGAATATGCAACATAGCCATAGGCAAAGTAAAAAAAGTGCTAGCAGGCAGCAACTTTTAAGGAGCTTCAAGAACTGGAAAGAGGGGAAAAGTTTCTGAGAATTGTGCTTAGGAATCGTGGATTTATTGAAGGATGAAATCCATGCAAACCTGGGAATCTAAACCTAGGGAAGGACATTTATATACTTAATTACATCTTTTACCACCTTATCTTTAATCTCCACAGTGTAAATTAAAAAGTGACATCAGAAACATGGCAAATACTACACTTAAAAAAGGTAATTCCTGCTCTAACCTTGGTGGTCTTGGCTGCTGGCAGCTGTTGTCTCCTGTATGCTGTCCTCTCCCTTCAGCTCTCGACTGTCCATGCTGTCAAAAGCTGCCAGCTTTAAGTGCAGCTCCATGTGGAATGCTTCACTTAGTGTCGGCTCGGCTGCCCTCAGCAGCACACTGCCCATCAAGGGAGGAGTGTCCTTGGGTATTAAAGGAGAAAATGATGGTTGTGGAGAAAGAAGCTGTCCAGTTATATTCTTGTCAGGAATCTCTGCAGAGAAATGCTCTGAAGTGGAAAAAGGTGTCAAATGAGTGGCCTTTCCACATTTAAGAGGGGACACAGCCTGTGTGGGTTTATCAGTGAAAGAATAGGAAGTGGTCAGTTTCTTGCTTTCTATGTTCTCTCCAGCAGCCAGGTTGACAACAAGGGGGTAGTCCAAGCCACCCGTGAAGGAGACAGAGGTGAGGTCGGAGCCATTGGTCTTGCCACATATGGTGCCAGGGCTCCTCTTTAATGTGGAACCCTCAGCCCCAGCTGTTGAGTCATCGAGGGGGAAGGCGTAAGAGGTGTTGGGGAGACTGCACTGGAAAGACATGGGATCAAAGTCCAAGGAGGCCATTCCAATGTCTGGTGGGCTGAGGTCCACATCTTCACTTGCTGAGCGGGGAGGCGAGATGAGAGCAGGCACACAGATGGGTCCATCATCTCCATCACTGTCTTCTGTGGCATCCACATTGTCATAGGAGTTGCAGTGCTGCCGGCTATCCAGTAACTCACCATTAAAGGAGGCTGACAGTGCATCGCTGCTGGAGCGCGGCCTTCGTGGACGATACACCTTGGACTCTCCTGAAGAAGGAGAAAACCATAATCAGAAAGAAGGAACTTTAAAAGATACACGCACACATGCACACATCCTTCTGCCAGGTGCAATCACAAATTCTCCAAAAATGGACTGGACAGAATTATTGACACCTTTCCAAAATCATCAGAAATAGTTGTATATCAAACATGTGATGCTCCTTTAATTTGTAATGAAACTCACCTGTAGCAACCAACAGGTTGCTGGCAACATAGAAATCACACTGGCAACCAGTTAAAATGGAGCAAGGTCGATTCAACCTTTGTGTCATGTGGACCACACTGAGCATGGAGAAAAGAAAGAAGAGCAGAATTGGCTGAGGATTTGAGAACCACAACAGTGGAAAAGCCTGGACAGTCTCAAGGCTCCAAGTCCATCTCCAGAGATCTGGTTGTTCCTGTGTCCACTGTGAACAACATTGTCAAGACGTTTCCAGCCCATGGAGCTGTAGCTAATCTCCATGGATATGGACAAAAGAGAAAAACAGATGACAGACTGCAATGAAGAATTGTTCCAATGGTGGATAAAGAACCTTGATCAACTTCCAAACAGATTCAAGCTGACCTGCAGGCACAGGGTGCAACAGTGTCAGCTCACACTATCTGTCACCATCTGAATGACAAGGGACACTTTGGTAGGAGACCCAGGGGACCCACTGCTGACACAGGAACATAAAAACACCAGTTTGCCAAAACTGACCTGAGGAAGTCACAGTCCTTCTGGGAGAATGTCCTGTGGACAGATGAGACTGAAACAGAGCTTTTTGGTCGAGTACATCATTCTACTGTTTTCAGAAAATGAACTGAGGCCTTCAAAGAACACGGTCCATACAGTCAAACACTGTGGAGGTTCACTGAGGTTTTGGGGTTGCTTTGCTGCTTCAGGCCCTGGATGTCCTGACTGTGTGTGTGGCATTATGACATCTGAAGACGAATTCTGGGGCCCAGTGTCAGAAAGTTGTGTCTCTGTCAGAGGTCATGGGCCTTACAGCAGGACAATGACCCAAAGCAGACTTCACAAAAGTAGAGAGGAGGAAGAAACTCACTGATGGTTACAGGAAGTGACTGATTTCAGTTATTTTGTCCAAAGGGTGGGCTACCGAATATTAAGTTGATGGTGTCAGTAATTCTGTCCAGTCCATGTTTGGAGTTCTGTGTGGAATGGATCAGATTTGTTGCTCCAATGCAAACATAAGAAACAAATATGAGAATAACAAAGAATTTGTGACTGCAACTATTTTCTGGGAGAAGTGGTGTGTTATCTGACAGAATATAAATGCATACACACACAAATGCTAGTAGTCACACTGAACAACCAACTGACAAAATTCTTAGTTAGGTATAGCCCCATAGCAGACTATGTATGTCAGCAGGTTACAGTGGCACAACATGCTATAGGCAGCATAGACTGATTGATTAAACTCATTATGCTGAGTCAAAGTGAGCTGGGTGACACAAATGATTACCTTCAACATTGTGCAGGGAACTCAGTGATTCCTCACTTTTGGCTGATCTTAATGTTGCTGTGTCTCCTCTGCCTCCTGAAACATGTTGATTACAGGCATCAGTATTCAGCTTTTAGTCAGTCAAATTATTAAAGACTGTCTTCATTTCACTTGAGGAGGAAGGACTCACCAGCGAGAGTTATAGCCTTTAGTTCATTAGGCTCACTGGGATTGCGGTGCAGCTTACGCTTGGACATGGAAGAAGACTTGCCCAGGTTGAAGAAAGAACGCCAACTACCTACAGGAGACTTCTTGGATTTAATAGGAGGCCTCTTCCTATGATTAAAAAATAATGGTGGACAAGCAGGGACAGAACAGTTAGTATCACTAACCCACGCAGAAATCTCAAAGACAGATCCTTGGGGATAGGGACAAAATAAACACTTTGTGCATATTAATATATTTTTAATGTTCCACATAGGTAAAAAACAGATCATCTTCTTTTTTAAGATACTGTATGGGCCAAAGGCTGAAACTGGAGTCAGCCAAGGGTCCAGCCTGCAGTCTTAACCAGCAACCAGCAGAGAGAGACACATTTCAGCATTACTATTGAAGTCCAACTAACATTAACACATTTGCAATAAACTCTACAACCTGCTTTCAAAATGTCTCTGTGTCTACATTCACGTTTTATTGACTGGTCTTCTTAATATTCTTCATCATCAAATGACATAACAGCAGGTGGAGTTAACAAACCTTTCAGTGGGAAACTCGATGACTGTATGGAACTTGCCCTGCAGGGCAGCAGGACCTTCGCCCACCTCGATGTACTTGCTGTCTTCAGTGACTGGAGAGTTGATCTGAGCCTGTGTCCTGGCCTGGGCCTCCTCCAGACTCAGAAGTTTGGTGGAAGGCGATGAAACCAGTAGGGACTTGGGCCTTGACAGCGAGTTGTGACCTGGTGACACATTGTTAGATGGTAAAGTAGAAGGAATAGTGGATAGTGGAATAATTGTTTATCGGGGGGGTCCTCCTCTTGTTGATGTCTGTAAGTACCTGCTCCCTCTCGTATTAGCGAGCTGAGTTTCGTGCTAAAGAGAACATCCACATGGTTGAGGATGAACTCCACCACCACCGACTGGATTCTAACTTCCATGAAGGCTGCTGTGCCACTGAAGCACGCAGATTCAATCTGTTTTGACCTGAGACAACCACAGAAAAACAGCAGTGAGAAGGGAAGAAGTTAGTTTTATTTAACAGAATCAGCTTAAAAATCAACAAATTCAGGATACTGAATCAAACTGTGTGAGGGGTCCATCCCATTATGTTTAAATGGCTAGATTTACAGTCACTGGGATGGGATGTACTCAGCTATAAAACATCTTTTAAATTTGTAAATACCTAGTAAATTAGGCGATTTACAGTTTAGTCACCACAGTAAAAAAAAAACATGCATTTAAAGATCATTCTACAGAGCAGGATAGCATTCACCTCAGCAGGTTGGGTGCCCAGACGATGGCTAGGTTCTTGCTGTGCATGTTGGTGATATAGCTGAATGTTGCCAAGCGGGAGAGGTGTCTCATGAGAAACTCCAGAGTCCTAGGAATCAAATATTCATTTGTTCAGATTTAATTGGGTCCCACTAGTGATGCGCACCCTAATGGGCGTGATAGAGCTACTTCTTCAGAACATCAATGTGCTTTCACTATGTGCTCAAATCAACATGGAATTCCACTCTGAAATTTCCATTTATATGTTTTTACAAAGGTTGAGAAATTTTGTTCATCAGCACCAATATAAAGGTCAGCTGGGCTATTCTACACAGTGTGGCATTGCAGAAAACCCATTATCAGACACATAAGATGACATCAATTCCTGGGCCTACCAATGAGGGGCAGTGTACCTCCACACTGACCTGTAATGTGGCGGAGGAAGCTGCTGGATGACATCATGGATTTTGATGACTCGTTCTTCATCTGTTGCTGCTGATACAGCTTCCTTCAGAGTCCAAACAAAGCAAGAGATGGTGAGATAAGGAGAGGGAGATAAAGAATCGGATGTACCGGGGTACCAGCATTAAGCATATTCACTTCTCATCCTGGCTTCATAATGCAAATGCAAGGGGACATCAGTCTGCAATCAGCCAACCCTCCTCAACCCCATGCTGCCATAACAACCAGCAAACATTTACTCCATCCTCAGAGGCTCTCTCGTGCTTGGAGAAAGTTTTTATTCCAAGTCACACAGAGAGCAGTTTGCTGCATTTGTATTGACAGGGTGTGTCAATCACACACTGCTATAATCTTAGGACTGTCAGTGACTCATACAGCAACAAAGTTAAAGAGTTCCTCCAAAATACTGTCCTTCCTATAGAAGGACAGTAAATTCCTTCAAGCACAATTTTGAAATCAACACTTCCAGTCACAATCAGTGTACTCTGGGGCATCTGTAAGCACAGCCTATAAAGTCCAATGCCGTAACAGTTATCAGACTTGTATCCACACATCAGTGTCAGATATTGGTATGTGAAGTCCTGATAGGGTTTTGCTTACAGAGAATTTCTCGTAGAGCTGGTAGGTGAGCAGCGGGTTGGGCAGCTCTCTGAAATAGAGCTTACACAGTGAGCCAACACAGTGGATGTCCTGGATATAAATGTCTTTGGTCAGGTCAGGGATCTGCTCCGAGTCAAACTCGTGCCTGATGAAAGAGAAAGAGGGCAAGGACAGACATCATTAAAACATCAACCGCTGTAGTTTGATGGATAGATGAAAAAACCTAACTACATTTCACTAGTGTTTTAGAACAATAAAATGATTTGTGCCTACACAGCCCTTCAAAAATGTGTTCACATTTGGTTAAAAGTTACGTTTAATAACAATCCAATCCCAGGCTGCTCAGGACCAGTGTAATGTGTCATAAATGACATCAATGTCAATGTAATTTATTTACAATTCTATAATAAATTAGAAAATAACCAAATACAATGAAATTGGTCTTTACATCTTCCTGAAGAAAATCATTGGAAATGTGGCCTACATTTCTATATGCTCTAACAATAAAGCCTAAAGTAAGACTAACTAGGTGCTAGTTTAGCACTTATTGGCATTCTGTGAAGTTTATACAAGTAACACTAACAAATGCAGGAGATCTAGAAAGCATGTCAACACTTCTAACAAACTATTCATTCTAAAATCTGGATTTTGACAGCTGAACAATCAAAGGGCAACGTTTAGAGAGATTTTAGAGGGATATGACAGTGAAATTAGAAATGACCTCACATGTTGTCATTTCCACATAAGCAGGCTCAGTCATACCCTAACCTGTTTCCGCTGTCAGAACCTAACGAGCGGTACACCCTGTACTTCCCATAGCCATTACCTGGCATGTGGTCCATTCTGCTTTGCTTTTCCACTGTGTTTAAATGTGGGTAGCTGAACAGAGGGCACCAGTCACTTATGTACTGGTAATGCTAGTTGAGGTATGAAGACAATGACATTTATGGGAGACAGCTCTGTGAGTACCCACAACGTGAATTTAGTACCGACTCCTGAGGGAAGCAAACATTTAGTTTCAGGAACACACCTCCAAGACAAACAGAACACGGGATGAGCGTTACATGGCTCATCATGTTTCACGTATGATTAAAAAAAACCCTCATGTAAACACTAAATCACCTTTATAAACTTCACAGCAACCAGAACATAAATATACTCTGCTAACATGCCCACAACACATTCTGTATGTTGACTTTTACTATGTACAACTGTTGTAAAATCTTGGATCACCACAGTTCTTGTCTTGATATGACAACACTGGCTAGTAAAAACTGTTGATGAGGAATGACTGTTACACTCAAAGTCATGTTTTCGTTTCTTTTACAGTTGGAATTCATCTTATGTGATTTGTGATCTCCTCCTGTAGCACAGTACATTTCTGTGCAAGCAGCACACACCCTTGAATCAAATCCTGCACCCAACTGTATTCACTGGTCAGTCTGTGTCTCCTACCGCAATTTCTGGATATTGGAGGCGATTCCAGAGAGGCGGTAGATGCCGTCCACCACCCCGTGTTTCTCAATGAATTCGGTGCAGCTCTTGAGGACTTGGGGCACTGTGAACAGAAAACAGTGTGTCATCACACTGCAAGTCTTTTTAGTCAATATCTGTCCAGTCTTAGGGTGGCTTTCCTTTTTGTAGGAAACCCTACAAAGTGTATGTACAGTGAGTCAGGCTTAAGATCAGGGGCCGTTTGGACAGAAGGCTGCAGGCTCAGAAGGAATACTGAATAATTTTTGGAACGAAATCACTTTTCAAGTTGAGGGTGGAAACGTTTGAACATTGTAAAGTGGAAATGAATACATCCTGAAGAGCTTCAAAATTACTGTATTCGTTTATTGTGCTGTTGGTTGCCATTTTCCCTATCTTCTACATCACTGCAGTTTTTCAGGTGAAGGAAATACAGACATAATGTCTTATTGTTTGTGAGTGCGGGGACCAATCACATAGGCTCTGTTTCACGGGACAGTGTCAGTGAATGTGTGTTAAAGATGTGAGGACACAAAAAGACCTCAGAAAAACACAGGGCTCCTCCGTTCTCCTCCAGTAACCATGAATCACAGAGACATGTTATTTATCTGTGGGTATGTGTGCATATGGAAGATAAGGATGGTGGGTATGTGTCTAAGGAGGTTTCCAGGCCTCCCACAACTCACACATCATTCAGACGATGACACAGAGTGGGACACATGCTGAAGCAGCTGTTTTGATGAATTCCATACAAAGCCAAAGAGATAAGGTTAGATTTGAGGAAACTAGCTGTCCAACAGAGGAGAGGGCAGGAATGGTGAATAAGTCCTCTCCAAGTTCTTCACATAGGAACATTTTGTTATCAGGTGCCCTTATCACAAAGATACGCAATGTGTTTGCATGTGGAATAAGGTTTGGACATGAAACAAGAATTCAGCTACTCAAAACATAAACATTCAAAACAGCAACTTCTGGTGAATTTAATGCTCTGAAAGGCATTTTTAAAAGCTCAAACTGAGTTAAATGCAGGAAGAAATGAAAATCTTTTGACACTGACTACAGATGATGACAGCAGCTGATTTATGTGCTGTGATCTACAGTGCAGTAGCAGGGTTCACAGGAAAACACAAACGGACAATAAAACCAGAGATTTTTAAGTTTATGATGGTCGGCAGTCGCCTCCTCTGACAGACGAAGAGGCTCTGTGGAATGTGGATGTTATCTAGTCTCAAAGCACTTGTCTTAAATTGGCTACCATACCGTACCGCGTGGAGGAGCCTTGTGTCTTTTTGTATTTTACCAAAAGAAATTAATCAGTTAATAAAATTCTGTGCTCTAAAGGTGCAATTTTGTCAAGAAAGCACGGTAGCAAGCAAACGATTTGTGGGGGCAGCTCTCCATCAGCCCTGTGTAGGCAGATCACACGGTCTCTGGTCAGGACACTGACAAAGGACCTACCCAAGGTTTTACATGTGGTGAAAACAACATTTATGTCATAGGGCAGATGCTTGTGGCTTCATGTATTCACATCCCCCCTCAGTTTTTTGTAGGAGTAGCTGGTAACTGCACTGCAAAACATGACTGTACATTCCTGTCCGAACTGCCTACACACCTGGATTTGTCTATATAGCCACAGAGGTTTTGTAATCTACTCACAAACTATAAATCATCACTATTGGAAGTGTTTCTTGTGTGACAGTGTGGCTTGTCTGACTGTGATACAGAACACCTTAGGCCGTGTTCACACAGACTTCACTCTGCGTGGAAAACCACAGCCCTTCTCATTCATTTGACTGGGGGAAGTGAAATCAAGTTATTGATTAAGGCTCAGCAGCAGAGTGCCATCATTACACTGGATGGGAGCTAATGTTACAGTATCATCAGGGCATCATTATCCATTCACATCAGCTCACCTGCCAGACACCAAACTCCCGGGGGCTCTGAAAATCAAAATGGCTGCAGAGGACAAATGCAGGTACAGACTTTAGTCCAGCAACGATCTTCACTGCAACCAGAATGAGGCAGCAGAGCTGGTGTTTACATACAGTGTGTGGTGAATATTTGCTTTAACAAGGTCTGAGGAAATTCAAGTGAAATTCATTAGCTCAGAAATTTGAATGGAGAAGGCAGCAGGTGTGTTTGCAGTGCGTCAATTTTTGCCAATGAAATTATAAATAAACGCTGAACTCTGGCCAACAGATGCCACTGGTATAAATGAATTTGAGCCTAAAGGATCATGGTGCTGGAGAACCTGGTCAGGCTGGTATTCATTAGTAACCAGGGGGACTAATTCTTGTGTGGATGCAGTCGCTTCCTTGAGCGTTGTCAGGTTTTCATAAACCCAAATAAGCTTTAGATGTGCTGGTGGACAATTTTTTACCTTGAAGTTTAGGAGGAGGACAATCTGAGTTTGTTTTAAGCAGCGAAAACAGATGAAATCAAAGTCTAGGTTTAATGTAACCCTGCTGCAAATAAAGGCCTGGTTCTCAATATGTAAATCAAGGTCCTGAGAATTTATGGCATTAAGAAAAAAGCAGAAATAGACCCAGGAAGTACCACTACTCTCAGCTGTGTGAGCTTCGTGAGTTTCTCACCATCATGTCCTGAGTTAAGGAGGTGTTCACCCAGGTCACAGCCAAACACCCTCTCCCGGAGGATGCCCCTCTGCTTCAGCTTCTGCTTGGTGGGCCTGGACTTCATGAAGGAGCGTAAGAAGGTGATCAGCTTTCCGTGCTTCTTAGACACTGAGAAACGATAGAAGGAAGGAAAGGCAAATCTTACACCCCTTACACAAATGTTTACTACACTACGGTAAGTGTGGGTTTGACGCAGGCTCAGCTTTCACACAAGCTCTGTCCATGCAATAAAATGAAACCCCATAAAAGCCGCTCAAGGTCGGCGTATTGTGCATTTCAGCTTCATTCTGATGCAAACCCTTTCTTTATGCATGTGTAGTTCCCTTGAAGGGAAAGCTTCGTTCTTAAATACCACCTCCCAGGCAACTACAAAGGAATCCTCCACATCCAATACCAGTATCCTCCATTCCTCTTCCAAGACAAAAAAAGGAGCAGACCTACTTGAAAAACCTGACCTGCAGTGTTCAGATACTATGTCTGGGAAAGGGCCATAAGCTTCTTAAACTACACACCTGTGGTTTTCTCTGCATTACAGTGATGTGGACAGGCTGTCAAATGAATCAAACAATCTGCATTTGTTGGAGAGAGGAATAATAAACTGTCCTCCCTGAAAATCACCCAGTCATCCACTGGACAGATGACAGGAGCAGCGTTTTCCACTCTGGGGTTACTTTACTAGACTCGGCTGTGCAGATGAAATGAACTCACAAAAGCAGCAATTTTCCTTTAACTGAGCTGTCAGTTCAGTTTAAGCCATCCATCTGTCTTGGTTAAACAGACACAGGCCATAATATTTTCAGATCTGAAACAACATCACAGTTATGCTAAACAGTTTAAAGCCAACATTTTTCACTGAGTATCACAAGGCATCTAATGTGCTATTTCAATCAAATGATTGACTGGAAGGCAACCAACGTGTTGCAGAAAAATACTGCTGCTCTCTGGAGATTACTGAACAAAATAGGTGAATTGCAGGGTTAAGAACCAATTCTTTCACCATTCTAACACAAATAAACCTCTCTCCGACAACTCTTATATCGACATCAGTTGCCTTTTCTTTTCTGATTTGCAAACTTTAACTACACTATAAACCTAAGTCTGAAACAATGGCTCCCAATCCTCTCAGCCTTTTTCTCGGTTCTCTTGCGAGTGTGCCAGTGGTCCAACCTCAGCTCCCATCACTGCTCCAGTGAAGACATTCCCATTCTCATCTTTTCTGGTTGCCTGCCTTTGATCCTCTGTGGACACTTACAGTGCTGGTCTTCACATTTTGACCATCAACTCTTCTGCCACTAATCTTCAGCAGTAATAAAAAATGTGAAGCGCTCAGCAGCCACAAGGCCCACACTCCTACCAAGCAACATTCGCTTGAGGTTTACTACTGAGAACAGTATTAAAAACCTACATTACCTATTCAACATCTGACCTGATCATTGTGTTCTTTCAGCCACACGACATCTGGAACTTCACTAAATCTCTCAAAACAGAGTGAACACAACAACCTCTCTGGTCTGAGATGCTCTGGGCTAAAGTGGAAAAACTACTGGCTCACATCAACTTTTACTTTTATTCCAGCGCACATTCCTTTATCTGATTATGAACACAGTCACAATCCCAACCTTTCTCATGTATTTCACAGACCTGATATCATATTCATTTGACCTGCTCCAGACTTCAGACCAAAACAAACAAAGTTGCACTTTGAGGAAGAATACATTTATGATTCAATCAGATAAATAGTCTTTAGAGAAGCAGTTTGTCACCAAGCTGAGCCCTGCTTTGGAATTGAAAGTAGGCCACTGCTTCTCCACAAACAAAACCAGCTGAGCTCAAGAACGCTAAAGCCGAAAAAGATAATACTAGGGCTGATCAATTAATTGGTTTCCAATCAGTATCACGATTTAACTGAACGCAATTTTCAAACTGCAAAAATTGTGATTGAAAGTATTTTTAAAACGTGGCTTGAAACACTACAAATTCTAAACAACCTGCCCTGCTCTGTGAAACCTGCAGAGTAAATGAGAGAGTGGAGCAAGGAAGACGCAGCAATAAGTTTCACGTTGGTGCTACTAGCCGTCCTGAACATAGCTACACCAGTCAGCAAGTCCAAGCAAACGACCAAGAGACAACAGTGTCTAAGCAGAACAGTAGGTTCTGTTGGTCGTCTGGACCTACTTTGGTTTTTAGACCACACCCTGTACGGCAGGAATGTGCTGAACGTGCCTGGCTAAGGTAGCGACAATGCGAGACAACACCAGAGGTTTCTTCCAGCATTAAATTAACACAACAGTCGCCACCTGTCCCTTATAATAATAAGGGCTCATCCGCTCTTTACACCTTTGTCCCGTATTGGATCAATATGGCAGACACACTCACGGAATCAAAACAGGATGCAATTTGTCATTTTTAATGTTTACACTTATTGTCCACCGTGGCAAAAACATCATAATACTAAGTAAAACAAGACAGGCTCTGTCATCCTTACGCATGTAAAGGAGTACAGCCCGCTGGCTGTTCCCCTCTCCTCTGTCTCTCTGCACTGACTGTTGGCTCACAATTAGATTACTTTCCAAAATTATTCAGCCCTAAAGAATACCATAAAATATCTTACTCACTGCTCTTTTTAGTGGCTTTAGCAATTTTTAGTGATGACACTAAGCTTAATTTAACTAAGAGACATGTATCCTGAAGCACATATGCTGTTAGCAATATTATTCAAATCCCAAAATAGCCACAGTGTGAGATTTGAGCCTCTTTCCCAGAGACCATCATGTAAAAATTAATGAGAGGCTGCCTGTTTTGCATGCTAAATATACACTATGGAGATCAACTGCATACACTAGACTGGGATCAAAGTAATGAGGTGATGGGAATGTAAAGTTATTTTGTAAGTGAATTCATTTTACAGTTTCTCGCTGTGTTGGCAGAATACTAATAAAAGTGACGGTGCATAAAACACTGTGACACTCATTACTTTGTTTGTTCATTCAAATCAAACATGATTTTCATCTCACACACACACACACACACACATACATGCTTGCATGGAGACACGCACGCACACACCTCCAGTGTCTCAAAATAAACAATCCCTGACAGACTGGTTTATATCCAGCTCATTCTCCAAGTAAATATATAATGTTTGGAACATTTTAATGAAGCAGCACAATCAGTTCTGATCCAACAGCTGGCTTCTGATCCACAAACAAGACCCAAGCCTTCATTTCAGGGAGAAGTGTAGCTACAGTTCCCCTCTCAAAGAGAAATTCCTTTTGTGCTGCTGTACCCTCACACAAAACTGCTGAGGCAGCTTTGTTTAGTCACTGTCAAAAAGGGCTTTCAGTATCCAACACTGTAACTGTGTTGGCTTACACGGACACGTCACTTCTATTTAGAAACCCAGAATGACTGGAAGATGTGAGGAAGAGGAGTCCAATGACAAGCTTGTCTCTGCTGAAGACAGACAGAGGCTCCCATCTCCTTACTGTCAAAGCAGATGTCAGCCTGAGGCCCAGCAGCTCTTCAAGCATGCATAGCACCGAAACTGCCTCTGACACACTCACTGCTGAAACACAGCTGGGTAAAGGCTTTTCACTTAGGAAGAGTGGGGCTGAGAGAGGTTTAAAAATTGCTTTCTTTTAGTTGATTTGATTGTTTAAAAAAAAAAAACAACCTCACAATTAATAATAATAATAATAATAATGCTTTCTATGACATAAATTACAGGCATTATGGCTGAAAGGTGCTCCAATGATTTAGTATTATACTTTCAAATTTGGAAGTCTTGCAAAGAACACATTTAAAACACATTATGGTCAAATTTGAAGCAACAGAGGCCAGGATATTCTGACGTTTAACCACTGGAATGGGTCAACCCTCTCCCCAAAAATGGTCCTACATTTAAGCACTATCCTACTACAGCTAGGCAAATGAGAGCCAGTAGCTCATGTGAGGCATTTGCATATGCAACAACCAGAAACCAGGCAGGACAAAGTTAAACAGAGAAGGATTATTAGCGCCTGAGAAACATTGACAGGTTTCAGTTACAGCCCTTAACTGACTGTGTGTCCAACTTCATGGCAACACCACAGTGTAATCCTAAAGCTGTGACAAGAGCCAATGAGCAGACTCTATCCAGAGACATTTGATACAACTACTAGGCGTGACCAAGGGGGACTCACAACACTCATTTACTTCAGCCAGCACTCTGTGGCGACACAGCAGTCACTCACACACATGTAGGCGCTGGAGCGGGAAACTCAAACTGCCCTCCTCTTTTGCTGGTGTAGTTTCAGGAAATCATTCTGTGATGGGGTTGGATATAATTACATTATGTGTCTCAGAAATCTACATGCTGTGAGAACAAGGAGTGTGACCTGTGGATTTTCTAAATAGATTCAATGACTTTTTACTGTGGTGGGTCTTGCAAATTAAAACCAAGTCTAATCAAGGAATATTAACAAGTATGACAGTCACAGGAGGGAATCATTTGAGTGTGACAATGTCTCCTTCCCCCCCCCAAATTTACAACTTTTCAATACTACTGTAACCATTTAGTGTCCAAAGACAAACTAGATAATGAAGAAACAGAGTACAAAATCCTGTAAAATATATTTTTTCCTCCAATTAATCCAGCCAGACATACTGTATGTGAGTGAGTTTTCCATGATAATTTCTTTTACAGTCATTTAAGGGACTCAACAAGACAACGTTACTGTTGGAATGACTTTGTCAATGCTATCAATGGGAAAAAGGACATTTGCCCACTGACAGAGGACCATTACTAATCAAACTAATAGAACGTAGGAGACACTGTGTTTACAACCTTTAACACATCTGGGTGGCCATACAGAATGTAAACAACAGAACCTGCCTAAATGCAGCCATGAGTGACAGTGAATTCTGTTTGGAAATAAGAGTCTAAGGGCAGAGAGAAACTGAGCCAACATGAAAGAACTAGTAACAATGAAGGCCGACCTCTGCATTGCCTCGTTGGTTTTGTCTGGATCGGTCGGGCTGATAAACTGATACTTGCAACACACCACACAGGCTACAGCCAGTGGCCAACTAGCATGTCCGTTCTGTGCCTGACTGACAGAAATAACTCC